GGAAACGATTTAAAGTGCAGCCGTTGATCATTTGACTAATCCAGATTGCAGCAGTACAATAAATTTAAGGATTCTGCTGCTCTGTGCTTAGATGAGGAAATTAAACAAACAGAGGAAAGACTTGTAAAATAATGTTGGCCTGATTACATTTTTGTTATCAGCAAAGCCTCAACAGTACTTTGCATCTAGACTGGTTTTATTTCAGTGTTTTAAGCCAAGATAACTGAAGTATGGAAGCAAATTAAGAGAGAAGTTTTTGAATTTCAGCAGCCACTGAATACTTCATCCTGTATATCTAAACACCACTGAATTCATAACATTGATTTCTTTTTTACTTTGAAAACCAGGTGTCTGAATTCATCTGTTCTGAATTCACCTCTTTGAAATTTAGACCCAAAAATTAAAGTTTGAAAAAAAAAAAAAAGAAGAAAAAGATTCAGGTTGCTCAAATTCGATTGGTCAAATTCAGATCTGCCCGACCGTTCTCTGATAGGCCCGAAGTCGATTCGATTGCATTCAGGCTCATTGCTATCCTGTCCCCGGTAGCCCGGACGTTGCAATGACAAACATTTAAAAAAAAAATTTGGATCTGAATTTGACCAATCGAATTTGAGCCACCTAAATCTATTTTTCTTTTACTCTGAAACTTACATTTTTTGGATCTGAATTTCAAAGAGGTAAATTCAGAACAAATATATTCAGATACATGGTTTGTAAAGTAAAATATTCCAAAGTATGAATTCAGTGGTGTTTACATTTCAATATTAAGTTTTCAGTGGCTGTTCAAATTAAAATACTTGTGTCTCTTATTTGCTTACATACTGAAGCCAGATTGCAGAAATTACTCCAACAAGTGCCATTCAGTAGGATTTAAGTTCTCAAGGGTTATACACTTAACAAAGAAACATGAGTGTTACAACATTAAAAGAAATTAGAGCTCCTCTTAGGGGTCGGCATTTAACCATCAATGTTTAGGATTGAAGAAGAGCAAAGCAACCTTCACCCACTTCAAAACGGAAATAAACATGGTTTGTTTTGAGTGTGTAGTCTTTTGAATTTTCAAAGAGGATAAAGTATGTCAGCTCACCAAACTGACATCCTTTCTTTATATGGAGGTACAAAGTGTTCAGCTGAAGTAACACACAAAGGCAGAAAAAAACCATGAACGTCGTCCTGCTGTATCTGATGCTGCATGTTGTGTAACTTCAGATTCTATTTTTGTGTCCTATAGGATCCAGCAGGAATCTTCGAGCTGGTCGAGGTGGTCGGCAATGGGACGTATGGGCAGGTGTACAAGGTGAGAGATGATGCATATATAATGCATTGGAATTTGCATTAACGGCTGTTAAACTGAGCATGCTGGAGTGATGCTCCAGTGCCTGCTCAAAGTTAAATGTTCTGTACATTAATGTCTGAGATTACACCTGATTTATCTAACTGCTACGCCAGCACATTTCCCAGCAGTCTGAGGAGTTTAAAGTAACTATGACACAAAGATAAGAGAGTCACAGCGAAACTGACCGGATGAATGAATTAGCTGCACTGAAAGGGCAAAATTCAAAAAACGGTCAGAAATGCAGGAGCTCCGAGCTCATTTCAACCCATGTCGACCACTGTTCTGATGATCCGACTTGTGTTTGAACCAGGGCCGTCACGTGAAGACGGGCCAGCTGGCCGCCATCAAAGTGATGGATGTCACAGAGGAGGAAGAGGAGGAGATCAAAGCCGAAATCAACATGCTGAAAAAATACAGCCACCACCGAAACATAGCCACATACTACGGTGCCTTTGTCAAGAAGAGTCCACCGGGACATGACGACCAACTCTGGGTCTGTATTGTCTTTGTAGCTGCCCTGATGAAACAGCAGCACTGCGCCTCATTGATCACACTCACTAAAAAAAAAAATCTGTGCTTGTCCGTATGCAGCTGGTGATGGAGTTCTGTGGCGCGGGATCAGTGACCGACCTGGTGAAAAACACAAAGGGCAGCTCCCTGAAGGAGGACTGGATTGCTTACATCTGCAGAGAGATCCTGAGGGTGAGAAGTCGCTGTTGCATCAGGCAAAAACAAAGTCTGCAGCAGAGGGCACTCCCTGCTCCTTACTGACCATCATTTTGACCTCCTCATGTGCTCACAGGGCTTTCTCACCTCCACGCCCACAAAGTGATCCACAGAGACATCAAGGGCCAGAACGTGCTGCTAACGGAGAACGCAGAGGTCAAACTGGGTATGCTGAGTGCTTTGAAACCTTGAAAACTAACTGTGTTTGATCCCTCATCATCTAAACCTTTATCCCTTACTGTGACTCCTTCTTCCAAATTCAGTGGATTTTGGTGTCAGCGCTCAGTTGGACAGGACAGTCGGGCGTAGGAACACCTTTATCGGTACACCTTACTGGATGGCACCTGAGGTTATCGCCTGTGATGAGAACCCTGACTCCACCTATGACTACAGGGTAACAGCAGCGCTATGTTTGTGTGTTAGCACTGTGCTGTGAGATAACATTAAAAGAGAGAGCCTGACACCGTACCTCGTGTGTTTTGCAGAGCGATATCTGGTCCCTGGGGATCACAGCCATAGAGATGGCGGAGGGAGCTCCACGTAAGTTATCCCTTCTTGGTTATATCATACATAATTCTTTGTACTCGGCAGCAGATAATTACTCACCGTCTCTGAGCTGCATTCTGCAAGACCTTGTGAATGAGTCCGTCTTGCATATGCAGCCCTGTAGACTGTGTCTTCAGATGGACAGCTGACTCACTGTAATCAAGGTAGTGTAGTCATGAGCTGGCAGTCGGCCCTGTGGAGGCTGATTGCACAGATTTCTCTGCTTTAAGTGAGGTCTTTCTGCCTTGAGATTCCATGTCAATTTTACTAAAAAGGTCTCTTTTTGTTTCGATATATTTTTGCCATTTTGTACCAAAACATTGAGGCGATTACAAAAGTACCAAGGGCCTGTGTCTGCTTAGGTATTTTTTTACTCTGACAGCTTCCAAAACTTTAATTTCAGACCACTTACTGTTGTTAGGTTAGAAAGTCTTCCCACCGCACTAGTGCTTCCCTTAGTATTGACTGATAAGTGTGTTTTAAATCGCTAGTGTGATAAATATTAGCCAGTATTCAAGAATATTTATCAAAGAAAATGGGAAGGGATCATGTCCTGGCATATAAGCGGCTCTAGCCTCTGAGAAACAAGTCTGAATGCATGAGATCAACCATGGTAAAGCATTCATTTCTCTTTCACCATTTTGTTACTGGCAAAGTTGGGGGAGTCCTTCTCCTTCTTGATTTTGATCTTTCCAAGAGGGAGATGGAACAGTGACGAGCGCGGCGGTGCTCCAGAAGTCGAACACACTTTTCTATCGAGAGCGATGTGAGTGCAGCGACAGAGATCAGAATGCGTTTCAGTGCCGAGGACGCTGAGCTTTGGTTTTGTAAAATAAGCACTGGCAGGGCGAAAAGAATGCCGGTAGTTGACACAGGCTCCAAAGCTCCCTCTCCGTCTCTGTCTGTCAGTATTCATCTACAAAGAGAGCTAAAGGTTAATGATTGCGTTAACATCAACATAGTTTAGTAAAAAAAAAAAAAAAGGTTAGTGAAAGTTAAATATAATAACTGGAGTAAATTTGAATCAGTAACTGGATATAATATAACAGGCATATAAAAACTGAAATGGTCACTAAGCCCTAACAGGTGGTTGCTATGCTGGTATATAAAAACTTTACAGACTCAAGTCACATCTTATTTCTAACTGTCCAAGGCTACCATGTTTTAAAGAGGTACCCGGTTTTCTGTGATTCTAAAGGTGAAAGTAAAAGAGGTATTCAAACACTTACTGATGTATTTCTCCTGATATTCTGATAAATTCCTTTTACATTTTGGGCGGCTGTGGATCAGTTGGTAGAGTTGGTGGAGTCACTCAAAACCACATGTCCGATGTGTCCTTGAGCAAGACGCTGAAACTCAGGTTGCTCCTGCTGATTCATCTGCGGCATACAGATGTATATGAATGGGATTAATTACTTCTGATGGTCACTTTACATAGCAGCTTCTTCCATCAGTGTGTCAATGTGTAGGTGTGACCTGCCGGTGTGAAAGCGTCAGGAGACTAGAAAAGCGCCATACAAGCTCAAGTCCATTTAGCATTTGCATTGAAAAGGAGAGAAAGAAATCACATCAGGTACACAGAGCTGTGGACATTGTGGTAGCTTTTTTTTGTGAGAACGTGTCGGTAACATCTTTCCACTATTCTTTGATCCTCGGACTATCACATAAAAAAAAGAATGAAACAATGGTTTCATTTCAGCGTCGCTTTTCACACATTTGTCTGCAAGATTGGCATCAGAATGGTGTTATAAGGACAGAGTTACACAAGTAAAAAGAATATAAAACTTTAGAGAAGCAGCTCATGTGTTTGGACAGTACAGGACTCCAGTCTGTTGTGGAAAAAGACTAAATGGGATCCTGCTACATTTGACCAGTCTGTGGTTGGAGGAGTGCAGCTTTTAAAGCCCAGCAACAATAGAAGAGAGCACACTCTTCACACGTTGGCTTGTTGTTAAGAATTACATTCTACATAAAAATAACACTAATACTATGGGACTGCTGCTTAATGTGCTCCTTATTGTAACAAACTAGGTTTAAACTCTGCCTGCAGTGTACAGCCATGGGCGGGTAGTCGCTGAGTTGAGGGCTAATTAAGCCGTCATGAATAACAATTTGAGTCTAAATGAATTTCTACTCCAATCAAAACTGAGTTTTACTTTTTGAGACTACACTTGGTTATTAAAGCTTTTCCGATTTTAATGAAGGGGATATGAAAACATGTACGTCTGCAGGGGACATACACTGGGAATAGTTTCCTGTAGGTTTTTCCAATGAGAGGAAAAGTTTTATTAAGAATTCTAAAACAAGGATGTTCAACTTTGATGTGGAAGTCACACCAGACACATATGATCAGTCAAAGAAAAGCACAATCTAAGTCTACCTTTCCTTAGTCAAAAACTTATTTTGATTCCTTTTTGAACTTGACTGATGAAGCCAGAGCTCCTGCAGGTCATGTTGAAGCTGCTGTGAGTGACACCAGTGTTGATTCACCATTATAAATTATACAGTGTGATCTTGCTCACTGCATCAATCTGATAACTGAAGTACGTGTGAGAGAATATAACCTGTCTTCCTGCTTAAGCTTACGCTGAGCTCCTTATCAGTCAGCCTTACTGGGAATTCAACATTGTTTCCTTTCATCATCAACACTTGAAACCGCTTATCAGAAATCTTATGACATGTCCCAGCTTGCCTTTTACTCTGTTCACACATCATAGTTTGTCTTAAGTATATAAGTGTAGAAAATGATTGATATAGACTTGTGAAAATGTTTCTTCCTTACATTCTCGGCAGCACTTAACGGCAGCACTTTACCAAAGGGATAGCGCCACACTGTCTATGATATATGACTTTAAAGTATGAGAAAACTGATTTGGCATGAATACTTTTTATGATGACTAAAGGATCATTCATTATTTGTCTGTACAATAACTCAGTTATTCGCTTGAACAAGCAGAACATTTCAGTCTGTGTACTCGATCATTTCCACTGACAAGATGATGATACACCTCACCTACCGTCCTCCTATCAGCAGGTGTCCAATTCTTTACAATCCAAAGTAAACAATGCAATCCAGCTGAGAAAAAATGTGTTTATGCTTAGATTCCCTCTGTTGTACATATTAAACATGTATAACGGTATTACATTAAGTGTCATGATTATTATCAGGGTAACTGCGTTCCCTCTGTAAGTCAATTAATCAATCTTTATTTGTATAGTGCCAATTTATAACAAACTTGTGACACTTTTAAAAAAGCAGGTAGAAGACCATATTCATTGTTCTGTTACAAAAGGAAAATGGAACAGGGGGAGATGGGATAAGATGCTGGAAGAAGGAAAGGGACAAACATAGGGGGAGTGGGGGGGGGGGCATAGCAGCAGGCCATCCCCACCAACAATCCCGATTAACCTACAAGACATGAGAGCTCAGGAGCTCCCAGGAAAATATGTGTTTAGAAACTAAGATTTACAGATAGTGACATGTAGTAATCTGATGTGAATGCACAGAGAAGGAGAGAGAGAGGGGGAGATAAAAGCTCAAGGTGCCAGTTCCCCCAGTAGTCTAAGCCTATAGCAGCATAACTAGGAGCTGGTCCAGACCTGCACCAGCCCTAACTATAATCCTTATCAAAAAGAAATGTCTGTTCTTGAAAGTACAGTGTCTGTCTGCCTCTCGGACCCTGACTGGTAGAGGATTTGAAAGGAGAGGGACCTGATAACTGAAGGCTCTACCTCCCATAGTACATTTAGAGAGTGTAGGGTACCACGAGATAACTGAAGGCTCTACCTCCCATAGTACATTTAGAGACTGTAGGGTACTACGAGCAGGCCTGATAACTGAAGGCTCTACCTCCCATAGTACATTTAGAGACTGTAGGAACCACGAGCAGGCCTGATAACTGAAGGCTCTACCTCCCATAGTACATTTAGAGACTGTAGGAACCACGAGCAGGCCTGATAACTGAAGGCTCTACCTCCCATAGTACATTTAGAGACTGTAGGAACCACGAGATAACTGAAGGCTCTACCTTCCATAGTACATTTAGAGACTGTAGGGTACTACGAGCAGGCCTGATAACTGAAGGCTCTACCTCCCATAGTACATTTAGAGACTTAAGGTACCATGAGCAGGCCTGATAACTGAAGGCTCTACCTCCCATAGTACATTTAGAGACTTAAGGTACCATGAGCAGGCCTGATAACTGAAGGCTCTACCTCCCATAGTACATTTAGAGACTTAAGGTACCACGAGCAGGCCTGATAACTGAAGGCTCTACATCCCATAGTATATTTAGAGACTGTAGGGTACTACGAGCAGGCCTGATAACTGAAGGCTCTACCTCCCATAGTACATTTAGAGACTGTAGGGTACCACGAGCAGGTCTGATAACTGAAGGCTCTACATCCCATAGTACATTTAGAGACTGTAGGAACCACGAGCAGGTCTGATAACTGAAGGCTCTACATCCCATAGTACATTTAGAGACTGTAGGAACCACGAGCAGGCCTGATAACTGAAGGCTCTACCTCCCATAGTACATTTAGAGACTGTAGGAACCACGAGATAACTGAAGGCTCTACCTTCCATAGTACATTTAGAGACTGTAGGGTACTACGAGCAGGCCTGATAACTGAAGGCTCTACCTCCCATAGTACATTTAGAGACTTAAGGTACCATGAGCAGGCCTGATAACTGAAGGCTCTACCTCCCATAGTACATTTAGAGACTTAAGGTACCATGAGCAGGCCTGATAACTGAAGGCTCTACCTCCCATAGTACATTTAGAGACTTAAGGTACCACGAGCAGGCCTGATAACTGAAGGCTCTACATCCCATAGTATATTTAGAGACTGTAGGGTACTACGAGCAGGCCTGATAACTGAAGGCTCTACATCCCATAGTACATTTAGAGACTGTAGGAACCACGAGCAGGCCTGATAACTGAAGGCTCTACCTCCCATAGTACATTTAGAGACTTAAGGTACCATGAGCAGGCCTGATAACTGAAGGCTCTACATCCCAGAGTACATTTAGAGACTGTAGGTACCACAAACAGGCCTGATAACTGAAGGCTCTACATCCCATAGTACATTTAGAGACTGTAGGTACCACAAACAGGCCTGCAAAGTTTATTTATAAAACAACTTTCAAGCGCAGACGTGACACAATGCTTCTAAAAGATGAATAAAAAAGACATTAAATGAAGATAATTACATAATAACAGACAGACCGATCAAACAAAGGCAGGTCTAAAGAAATGGGTCTTCAGCTGCTCTGATATCATGTGTTCCTTAACCTTACGTGAAATTACTTTCTTGCCTCCAGCTGTCTGAACCACATGGTTTCAAAAGATCTGCTTTACAAAAGCCTATTTACTGTGAAACTGTAAAGCTAACCAGTCAGGTTTAGCTACCTACCTACGCTGGGAACACAATGACTCACAGGCCTTGCTCTCACATTCAATGTAACAATAAGCCTGGGGCACCAGGAATTATTGGATAACAGCAGCTGTAGCCATGTTTGAGGATACAAAGAGCGTGTAACGGTGGATAGTATTATTTACAAAGTACTAAAACATGATATTCTGTCTTACATAAAAGCCCCTCCCCCCTTTATTGGTACTGAGTCTCTTAGCATGGGTAGGAGGATTTGATAACAATCAACATATCCTCTTTTTTTACCCTCAGCTTTGTGTGACATGCACCCGATGAGAGCCCTCTTCCTTATCCCAAGGAATCCCCCTCCGAAACTGAAATCCAAAAAATGGTGAGTTACAAACCCTCCTGCGGTTTTCTTGAATTTCAGGTTCATTTATGTCATATCCTGTTTAAGGGACTCCTTTTAGATGTTATAAATGGATTATAAAAAAAACCTCAACATGCTGCAAAAGGAAAGTCAAACGTCCAGCTGATATTACATGTCATTACTGTTTGAGTAAATCTGTGAATCACATGCAGTGTGTGTTATGCAGCACCCTTAACTTAGCTTCAATTCCACAGGATCCTGTCATGTTTGATCTAACATTAGAGGTTGACCTTATTTTGATAGAGCCAATCCCCCCTTGCATAAAGCAGCAACATGAGCCTCTACTATAGGCAGACGCTCACACACAGCCAGAGAGCAGTCTGCTAACAAGATTAGCTTTCCTGTTTGTTCTCCTTCTTACTCAAACCATGAACACAAATCTTGTCCCACGTGTTTGAGTGTCGCACAAGTCGGCAAGCAAACATTCATGGGAACATGGAAACGCGGGCACTGCTATTGACAAGCTAGGCAGACGACAACTTACTCGGCTGTAGCATGTAAACAAAACCGGCAAGTGTCACTTACAATGAGATAGTGTTGTTCTAACTTTTTAGCCCTGCTGATATCATGCAAAGTGCAAATAACATATCCGATAACCATGCAGCCTGGCCTCTCTTACCTCCTCTTACCTCACCACTTCACGCCAGGTCCAAGAAGTTCATTGACTTCATAGAGGGCTGTCTGGTGAAGACTTACACCAGCCGACCATCGACGGAGCAGCTGCTCAAGCACTCCTTCATCAGGGACCAGCCCACCGAGCGCCAGGTCCGAATCCAGCTCAAAGACCACATCGACCGAACTCGCAAGAAACGAGGAGAGAAAGGTGAGAAGATGAGATGGAGAGGAACCTAAATGGATATGGCCCAACATTTATTATGTGATGTATAGGAAAGGTTAGTATGTCACAATGTATTTTAAAGCAGTATTTGACTTCTCTTTGTTCTGATTGGTCCTACAGAAGAGACGGAGTATGAGTACAGCGGTAGTGATGAAGAGGATGAAAATCGTGGCGATGACAGAGAGTCTAGGTTAAAAACATTCTGTCATCACTGTCAATCAATACAGACACATTGCCTCATGTTATCTGCATACACGATTGCCTTCATAATCATCTCTGTCATGTTTTATTTTATTTTGGTCATCAGTTCAATCCTCAATGTGCCCGGCGAGTCCACCTTGAGGCGGGACTTCCAGCGTCTGCAGCAGGAGAACAAAGAGCGGTCCGAGGCTCACAAGAGGCAGCAGGCCCAACTGGCCGCTCAGCGCAGAGACCCCGAGGAGCACAAGAGGCAGCTGTTGCACGACCGACAGAAACGCATTGAAGAACAGAAGGAACAGCGGCGTCGACTTGAAGAGGTACTAATCAACACTTTTCAAAGTGAAGGTTTGGGGCGCCGGTGGCCTAGAGGCTGTAACCCAGGTTCAAATCCGACCTGTGGCTCCATTGGCCACTCTCTCTCTCCCTAGTATCTGACTCCATACACTGTCCCGTCTCAATTAGGTCGAAACAAGCCCTAAAACAAATCTAAATGAAGTGTTGGTCTAACAATACAATGAAAAACATTTTCCTTTCTGGGAATTATTTGATTAGAGTTATCCCCCCAAAGAATATATATATTTGTGCTGTAATTATTTCTAGACAACCACAGCACCCAAAGAAGAAAAAAATCAAATCAAACCAAGGCAAGTCTGAACAGATGGGTCTTTCACTGCTTTTTCAAAGTGTCCACAGAGTTCACGGCTCTCAGTTCCGGGGGGGGGAAGACAGATCCAAAATGTAGGTGCCACAACCTCAAAGGCACTGTCTCCTTTTGTTTTCAAATAAAGCACCAGCAGAGCATGAATCCTCTCCCTGCTTAAGAGAATGCAAAGACTCACTTTAGTGTCTTTGTCCTTGCAGAAGCACACAGTCAGGATTGTGTCAAACTCGGAAAAACACACTCCAAATGTTTTGTATCGACTTGAATCTGATCATCCCGATCTGTCTGTCTGCTGTTTGGTTTTGAGTCAGTCAATGGATAAATGTCCTGCACACACACACACACACACACACCAGAGGCTGCAGCTACTTACACAATATGCATCATGATTGTACTTTTTTTTTTTAAATTCAAAGCTAAGCTGTATGAAGCAGTGAAATAATGGGCTGTAATGTGCCTGCTCTTAACTACTTGCCGTTGCCCTTGTATTCTCTCTAATCTTCAGGTCAGTATTTCCCGTTGCTTACTTGGTCATGAGTTCACAGTATTTATGATTGCCTTCTATTGTGGGCCCTACTTCAGTCGTTATATAACACCTTAGATGTATAAACTTTGAACGCATACAACAGGGTGAACATATTTGAAAAGCTACATTTGGCAGTTTGAAAATGAGCTTCCACACACTACAAAACACCCGTGTGTTCATGTGCTGAACAGATCGAACACTGGAGTGCATAGAAACCACACGTGTGCTAAATCATTTCTATTTATTTCTTATTTTAAAGATTTCTAGATTAAATAATGTAAACACTATGCAGGCCAGCTTACCTGCTAGCAGTGGTAGAGCTTTAAGAACAACATAACAAAAACATCACGATTGAAAGTGCACGCTGAAATAACTGATAATGATTCATTCTGTAATCCATATCAGATATAATCAAGTTATGGTTTTTTATATTTCACTTAATCAGCTGCTCCAGAAGTTTCGACTAAGAAAACAGTTTAACTAAGAAAGACTGAAATTAATAGTTTCAACTTGATATTGCACAAATTTGCTTCCTTTTCAACACATCATCTTTGGGGGGGGTGCCGGTGGCTTAGTGGTTGTTGTGCGTGCCCCATGTGCAGAGGCTGTACTCCTCCAGGCTAGCAGCAAATATATTCTTTGTTCTCCAGAAGGCAACACAACATGCTTGAACATTTTATCTGATTTCAATGTCATTGTGGTGAAAAAGAAAACAGAGCCTTTTAGAAAGCTCTGCCTAACAGCCTGTAGACGTCACAGACTGTAAGACAGGACTACAAAATGATTGGTTTGTGGAGTCAGGCGATCATTTCATGGGTCATGCTAACAGAGGCTAACAACTCTTGACTTTTGATTTTGAATAGCTGTAAACCAGTGGATTAGGCTTCAGAGCAGATAATATGTGAAAGCTACAAACTGATAAAACATTTTGTGTTCATACTGTTTTGATTGTGATGACGGAGATTGCAACTTTAAGATCTTAGGCATCATTTGAATAAATCTTGTGCTCGGTGCTGAAGACGGTCTAACCTGACTCAGCTCACCGGTGGGGCTGTGCGAAGGGTCCGCAGCTGTGAAACGTCTTGACAAGCTATGTTGGGATTTGAACGAGGAGCACATAATTACAGCGATATTGTCATTAAGTATTGTGCTGTATCGGTGAGCCGCTTCACTGCAGTAAGAGTGAAGTCCTTTAATATACCTGCATCTCCTCCTCCTCTGTCCTCCCTGTCTGTTCTTTTTAAACTGTAAAGACTGAACTCTCTGAAGGAGCTCAAAACAAGCTCTGAGTGTTTAGTGTCTTGAAGTGGGAGATTCTCATGGGACCCAACCTTCTTCTTTGAATGTCCCCTTTTTAAGAAACATAAAAAGCCTGCCACCTGCGGAAGTGACAGTCGTTTAAATGTATATCAAAGCAGCTCACTCTGAGATGATTAGGATGCTTTAGGTGTGTGTTAGTGAGGCTGACTCACAGCCTCTATTCTCTGCCCTGCACTTCCGCTACCTTTTATTTCTTCTCCTTTTTTCCCAGCTCTTTGCGCACAAAAGAAAACAAGAGAGGTTTAGTCATAAGCAGGCTCCCCATTATGAATTCCCCTGTGCAAACATAGCCTCTGTGCTCATTTTTCTCTTCTTTTTTTTTTCTCCTGTCACCCTTCTCTCCCAGCAACAGAGAAAGGAGCGAGAGATGGTGAGGCAGCAGGAAAAGGGTCCCCACCGGAGACTCGACGATATGAGACGGGAGGAAGATAGGAGGTTGGCTGAGAGGGAGCAGGTAACCAACCAGCAGGAGACGTGGGGGTTGCCGATCAGCCAATCAGTGTG